TTTTTTTGACTACCGAACATAGGAGGGCTCAAACCTAAATCTTGGATGTCAATACCCAAACCTCTCAACACTGCACCAATATCCTAAGATGCTCTAAAATCTCTTACTTGTACCTTGTTGATCACGATATGAAATTCGTTGGGAATATATAAGTAATTACGACATCTTTATTAATATAAGTTCTTTTAGATGTGTATGTATAGACTCAAAATGAGTAATATCATATTTGTTATGGATGTGTAGAAAAAATGATTATTATTTTAAGAAGTAGTATAAGAAAGCATGCTCCGCCAAAGATAACCCTCAAAATTGATTCACACCTCAATTATTATTTTAACACTATGACTACTTCCAACAAACATATAGTATAATTTGATAGAAAATTTGTTGGGAGGAGGATGGATTGATTATTATTCAATGAGATGATTATTGACGGTGAAAAAAACCGACTTTTAAAAGATGTTACTACTATCTTCTTATAATTTAATTGTGTTTTGGAGGATCATAACTAATCCATATTTGAGTTATTACCGTTTATGAGCAGCTTTCAAGTATTATGAACAAAAATATTATTTAATTTTGGAATAATCTAGAAAAAAAAAGAAGACAATAATAGCAATATATAATAATAGAGAAAAGGTAAATGGCTCGCTAAAGAGGCATTCACAAAACAATATGTCAAGTCACACGCGTGCTCCACCACGCTTAACCCTAATAAAAATTATCTTTTAAGTATTATTTTCATATATCTGGATTTTGTATTTTGTATTTTCAAAACAACTATTTATTTTAATATTTATACTTTCAAAATATCTATTTTGATATTTGTATTTTTTAAGAGATTTGTATTTTTTTTTTCATTTTTCTTATCTCATTTTTCAATCACAATTTTACCATTACTTCACTCACTAAATTTATTGGAAGACAACTATAAATTTATATTAAAGATATTATATTTTTATCTCATTTTTATTTCATTACAGGAATCAAAATTGACGTTTTGAAAGTATGTAGATTAAGATGAACAAAAATTGAAAGTAGAATAATTAAAATAGCCCTCTTAAAATATATAAAGACTAAAAGAACCCAGTACATGAATAAAAATAATATTTGAATTTTTTTTCTTTTTTATAAAGAATATTTGAAGTTAAAAAGTAAAATAAAATAATAGTAATAAATTTCTTTAGGAAATAAGAAACGAGGAATTAATTGGAGGGCATGTGTGGATATTATATGGAGTTTCACCATATTCTTAT